AACAAAAACTGTTTATCTTTTCCAGAATTTTCCATTTCATACAAAGAATTGTTTGAATCCGTGAGTGGCGCAATCAATAAACCCGATTTGGAAGGACGATTATTTGACTATGTTTCAAAAATTGTAGAGCCACTGGAAATTTCCGAGAGTGAGGAGAAGTTGCTTAAGCAAAAATTGAGCAGTTATACTAGAAACCTTAAGGACAGATGGAAGATCGTTGGCCGATCGAAGAAGGTATTAATTCAAAAATATGGAAACAGCTGGTTTGAGGGTAAACTGACATTCTCTATCCCTTGTTCCGATAACAACGAGCCCGATACCGAAAGTCAACCTGAGGCAACAGTAGGACGTCCTTTAAGTGATTTTGAAAAATTATCCCCTTCTGGAAAGAGGAAACGGACGCAGTCAATACGGGATGAATATTCTGCGGAAGAATTATTGTTTTCTACCATTTTAGCACTTAAAGCTTCGGGAAAATTTACTCTCGCCACAATTATTGAGAAAGTCAATGATATGCCCGATTCTTCACAAAAATCTCTTTTAAAAGATATCAAGGAGAGAGAACCCAGCAATCCTGATGCGGATGCTTTTGATTCTTTATCCATCCTTACCAATGCCTCTCTGACTAAACACCAGTACAATTTGATAAGACTTTATGCTTTGGAGAAAAATTCAAAAATTTTTGTTCCCTATAATAATGTTAGAGAAATGAAAAAAGTTTGTTATCCCGATCCGTCATCGATTACTGTGAGTGAAACATGTGCCGAGGTAAAACTTCAAGCACTATTGGACCACACAGCTCAGCGCATAATCCAGTTAATGTTCCCAACTGCTGAGTCTTTTGTAAATTTATCCACACGGGTTTTATGCCTTAAAACTAAATGGGGATTTGATGGTGCAACAGGTCAAAGCCGTTATAAAATGAAATTTAGCGAAGATGATGCAGATGATAGCAGTATGTTTGGAACATCTCTCGTTCCGTTACAATTAACTGATGTTGAAACTTCTGAGGTTGTTTGACAGAATTCAAAACCCGGGTCTGCCCGATTTTGCCGGCCTATTCGCATTAGATTTACCAAAGAGACCGAAGAAACTATAGTGAATGAAAAAGCATCCGTCGAAGCGGAGATTTCCACCTTAATCCCATCGAAAGTAACTTTACCATATTTCAATGAAACTTTAGAAATCAAACACATTTTAAAGCTGACCATGATTGATGGAAAGGCATATAATGCGATAACAGAAACATCCTCTCAAACATGTGCAATCTGCGGTATTACACCTTCAAATGCAAATAATATTGATAAAATTTTGGAGAGAGATATTGACGAGGCAGCATTAGAATTCGGTTTGAGTCCCCTGCATTGCTATATACGTTTCTTTGAATGTGTCATTCATATTGCATACAAGTTAGATACCAAGAAATGGCAGAGCCGTAGTTCCGAGCAAAAACAGCTCAAAGCAGCCAGAAAAAAAGAAATTCAAGATGGGTTGAGGAAAGAGATGGGTCTTTTGGTAGACATGCCCAAACAAGGAAGCTCAGGTAACACCAATGACGGCAATACGAGTAGAAAATTTTTTTCAAATCCTGACTTGGCTGCCAAAATTACTGGGATTGATGTAAATTTAATCAAACGATTGGGCATAATCCTCAGGGTAATCAATAGTGATTTTGAAGTAAATTCTGAGAAGTTCAACGCCTATGCTTTAGAAACAGCCAAAATTTACTTCAGGACATATCCTTGGTATCCGATGCCCCCCTCTGTTCATAGAGTCTTATTACATGGATACAGAGTCATTCAGGTAGCTATATTACCAGTTGGGATGCTCTCTGAAGAGCCCCACGAGTCCCAAAACAGATTCAAGAGAAATATCCGAGAACATCATGCTCGAAAATGTAATCGTATAGAAAACCTTAGAGATGTCTTCATGCGTCTCCTATTAATGTCTGACCCGGTTATTTCGAGCAGGATGAAAGCGAGAAATCCTAAAAAGAAAGAAATCCCTGATGAAATGCTTTCCTTGATCAATCTTTTGCCATAATTGTAACCACCTCATACTTTTGTGTATCATGATGTGAGCGCATTTTTTTTTTATTTTAGGAGACAGTTCTTCCTTTCTATTTTTATTTTATCTGAGATTCAAGTTCCTTATTTTTTACCTTACATATGTGTCGCAAGATGGGTATATTTTTTAAGTAATTTTTTTTTTTTTTTTTTTTTTTTTTTTTTTTTTTTGGTGGTGCTATTTTTTGATTAGTACTGATACAGACATATTTTTATTTTAAAAGCATATTTATTTAAAATTTTCTTCCTACTTATCTGTGATATTCACTTTTATTATCTCTTCTATTACCACACTTAAACCATTTTGATTTTTCACCCTTGTTGTGAATTAGGTAGTTTTTCTATTGAATTGTTATGTTTAATTCTATTATTACTGAAACCAGGTTGATTTTTCACCCTTATTGTGAATTATTTTTTCTATTGCCTTGTTATGTTTATAGTTATATTCTTGTTTCTACTTAGTCATGTACCTTGTTCTGATTTCATTGTGTTCTTATTGGAAGCATAAACATTTGTTTTTCATACAGTAAAAACTTATTTCATTCGTGTATATTTGCTCTTAAAAGTCAGTAATTTGAGAGACTAGTAACAAAAAGAGTTAACATAGTTCCTCTATTTTAACACTTTTCTCTTTTCGGAGACTTATTTTGAAAATTATCGGTCGTTATCAAGACACTAATTGCTCTATTTTTAGATGACCGTTTCGTTTTTGAACATTTCTCAGACTTTCAAGTGGCGTCAAATCATACAAAAATTTGCTCACAAAATAGTTTCCACTAGATTCACGTAAGTCCGCATAACATAATTTTTTTGTAATTTTTGATCAAATCTGACATCAGATTCGAGTTTAGTGACCAAAAAAACCCCCTGACACCTGAAACTAGCGACTTCCGATGAGATTTAGCCGAGATATGAATTATTCTCGCGCAACCGGCCCTCCTGGCCCACTGTGCACCGGCGAGAGGCCGTTTGTTTGCTCCGACTGTGGAAAAAGTTTTTCCGACCAATCAACGCGGCGAAAGCATCGCCTGGCGAAACACGCCAGGCTGACAGAGCCTAACTCAAGGAGCTGATGCCGCCGCCTCCGCCCCCCATGCCTTTGCAGTGTTTTTTTGTCCGTAATAATTGCACTGTTTTCCAATAGTAGATTCTCATCAAGCGTCCATCAGAACTTTGTACTCATGGTTGTTTTTTTTTTAAAGTTCCGATGTCAAATTTAACCTTCGTTTTACTTTTTTATACTCCTTGCTTTTTTGCTGAAATTCATCGGGCGAAAAAGAAAAGTAAGTGTCAATCACGATTCTCATATTTTTGTATTGATTTGTTTCCAGAATTCAAGCAGAAATGAGCCTGATCACTTATATCATTATTTCATATTTCCGGCTTCTCAACAAATTTCTCATCCACCTTCGAGTAAGCGGATTTCTGATGTAAGTTTATATTTTTAAATTAAAGCTGCCTCCCTTTCCACATTTAAAGAGCCCTTCCTACAATTCCTCCCCAATTATTAATTTTAAGCGTTCGTAAAATATTAAAATATATTAGTTTCGTTCATTGTTTTAATAACCCTCTTTCTCATCCACCTTCTCAACCTATTTCAGAACCAGCGTATGAGAATTCAAGCAGAAATGAGCCTGATCACTTTATCATAATTTCATATTTCCCGCTTCTCAACAAATTTCTCATCCACCTTCTCAACCTATTTCAGAACCAGCGTATGAGAATTCAAGCAGAAATGAGCCTGATCACTTATATCATTATTTCATATTTCCGGCTTCTCAACAAATTTCTCATCCACCTTCTCAACCTAATTCAGAACCAGCGTATGAGAATTCAAGCAGAAATGAGCCTGATCACTTATATCATTATTTCATATTTCCGGCTTCTCAACAAAGAGGGTTATTCATATAGGCGAAAAATGTACCCAGCCCGGAATGTACGAAACTTTGTGGGCTGATAGTACTAGTTGAGAGAGGCTTATCCCTAGCTCCGTTTTTGCAGGAACCCCAGGGAAACAGCGTTGCCATTTTTTAAAGTCGTAACCTTCAAACATCCATAACTTTCGTAAAAGTGCAGTTACAGAGCTCGTATTTATACCAAAAGACGCAGAAAATTACGCTCTATTGACCCATGCAAAAGAAATTTTAATTTGACTCCACTGTTGCCACGTTTTATCCATTTTTTTAATTTTCGTAATTATTTAAAATCACGTTACCGCCTAAAAAAGTGTTTGCGGTCGGTGGGGATTGAATAAGAACCTGTCAGAATTATTGTTCGTTCGATTCCGCATCCGTTGATATATTATACTTTTCTGAGAGACTTAGGGAACACGAGTTAAAGCGATTTGGATATTCGGCAACACGCCCGACAACCGATTTTGACGCTCGTAGTCGTTCCCGTGCGTTTCTCGACTCCGCGTCAAAGCGCAGCGTCGAAACAAAGCAAAATTCGAAAAGTCAGTTCATGTTTTGCGCTTTTTTGACATTTCGATATGATTTTTAAGTATTTACGTTGCAATGAAGTTGCCAATTTTGATGGAAAACTGCCACCGCTATCACAAAAAAGAAAGAAAGGAAAAAAAATTACTCATCTAATCACGTCCAGTCACAGATGTGCAGCCTCATTCTGTAGCTGGTACTGTCGATTTATCCAGCCCGTAATGGTGTCATGATCCTTCGACACTTTTTACATACTTTGCATCTTGCACTAGGAGCAATCACCTGCATCCTTGTATCAATGCATCATGAGGATGCACCGGTTCGAGCTTCCCTGATAAGGAGTCCGAATCAGTGATCATAATCAGTAGATTTCCAATATGATGCTTTAATAAGCGCAGTTTTTGTAGATAAGAATATAGTTTCAGCACGATTTTCTTATGATGCTGAAAGTCAGTATTCGGTTGGATTTGATCGGGTGCATGTCGTTCGGTTTACTATGGAAAGTTGTGCCGAGTGCGACCGTCCTTTGGATAAGAAACCGCGACGCGAGAAAATATTCTCCAATGGGATTTGGTTTTGCACGGCGTGCTATAAAACGAAGCGTCGTTCGGAGAGTGTACCTGTCCCAAAAAAAACTGTGCCAAAAATCACTCAACCAATTAAGTGTACAGTGAAAAGTGCGCGGGAGTGTATTTTCTTGTGCAAGGGTGTCCGCGAGCCGAATCTAATTCGTATTCCAAAATCTCTGCGATCAGAGATCCTCCTAGAGAAGCGAATTATTATTCCTGAGGTGAGCCGGTGTTGCAAAAACCATATTCAGAATGACAAATTCACCGAAAAAATCTTGGACTTACTCTTGAATGGGCACTTATTAAAGGATGCAAATCTAAGTGCTATTGAGTGGGTGGCTCTAATTGACGATCTTCGCGAAAAAGCTAAGATAACGGCCCAAAACGAGTGTCCCGATGAGGATTTTTTCGGTGAAACGGAGCGTATTTCAACGTGGACGGGACTAGAGAGGCCTCAATTTAAGGAGCTCGCAACGTACGTCAAATGTGAGAAAAAAGGTGTAAAAATTACTTTACTTCTAGGTGTATTTTTAATGTATATGTACACATCTCTATCAGAGAGTAAAATTGGAGCGTTTTTAGGTCTTTCTCAAGCGACTGTCTCTCGATACATTAATATTACTCGCGAGTCTTTGTTGTGTACTTTCGTGCCTACTTTCCTAAATGTAAGCCGCGAAAAAGTGAGAAGTGAAACTTCAAACATAGCACGGACCTTGCACAAATTCAGTGAAAATGAAGATAAGACCCTGACAGTGTGGGACGGCACATATATATACTTAGATAAGTCAAATAACTTTCAGTTCCAAAAAGCAACGTACAGTGGACATAAGAAGACTAATTATGTTAAGCCCATGTTAGTTGTAACTAGTAATGGTTACATTGTGAATGTTCTGGGACCGGACCAGTTTTGGGCCGGCAGTGTAGGCGACGCCGATATTTTGGCTAGTGTCATGAAAACTCCTTGGTTCACTGCATTTTTTAAAGCTGGTGACATCTTCGTCGTAGATAGAGGGTTCGATCGGTGCGTGGATAATCTTAAGACGCAAGGCTTTGAGGTCTCAATCCCTGTGTCCCAGTCCGGACAAAAACAACTGACCGCTCTAGAGGCAAACAAAAGTCGCCTCTGTACAAAAATTCGGTGGATAGTGGAGTGGGTAAATAGCTCTCTAAAACGTTTCAAGTACGCTGACGGCAAGGTCGGAAGCTACGGCATACCTCATCTTTTCGACAATGTGCGGATCCTAGCTGCAATACATAATAGTTTTTTTTCCCGTCAGTACAGCGATTCTGATAATGTGGAAGTCGCCACTAAAATGCTTGCAAGAATGGAGACGCCGAATTTACTCCAAGCACTTGTCGAGAAGGAAAACTTGACGAGAAAAATGAGTATGTTTGAGCCACTGGGTCCAGACCACTACAACTTGTTGCCACCTTGGACTATCCAAGATCTAACTTCTTTATCTACCTCTTTTCAATTACGTCTGGTGAGAGGGTACATCGCTAATCATTTTGCAAAGCGAAAACATGAGTTCCAGATCTGCCGTGATGAATTTAGTCCTAACTTTAGGAAGTATGAAATAACAGTTCGTGCTCCTATCTTCATACGAGCGCGACTTCTTTCCCGCCATATTTCAAGTAAAGTCTACTACATTTTTATCCTAATTGACGTGACAAATCCACAGCATGTGCCCCCACAGTCAGTAAAAGAGGCGTATTGTACGTGTAAAACTGGATCTCGCACGGTTAGTGTATGCGTTCATGCGGCATCTATTCTGTGGTATATCTTTTATGGCCGCCATGAGGAATGCATTCGGACGCCTGCAGCTTACTTGGACGAGTGTTTTTTGCTGCCCTCTAAGGACGTGCAGTCAGACGTTGACGTTGACGTCGAAGATGAAGAGGAGCAAGCGGATTTCTGATGTAAGTTTATATTTTTAAATTAAAGCTGCCTCCCTTTCCACATTTAAAGAGCCCTTCCTACAATTCCTCCCCAATTATTAATTTTAAGCGTTCGTAAAATATTAAAATATATTAGCTTCGTTCATTGTTTTAATAACCCTCTTTCTCATCCACCTTCTCAACCTATTTCAGAACCAGCGTATGAGAATTCAAGCAGAAATGAGCCTGATCACTTTATCATAATTTCATATTTCGGGCTTCTCAACAAATTTCTCATCCACCTTCTGAACCTATTTCAGAACCAGCGCATGAGGTAAAGAATATGGATAAAGAAACTGACTGATAAAGAAAATTGAAAGAATCAGTATTGGAAGTATTCAGCATTTTGGTCGCATTTTTACCAAAAGGTGATAAAACTAGCCTCCCTGAGGATCTCCACCAACAAATCCAGCCCCTATGAATACTTCAATGATTGTTTTAAAGGAAAACCCAGTGGCTATCATCAGAGTACCTCAAAATCATGGACTCTCTCCACAACTCAATAAAGTATTAGAAAACGAGGAGATATTACTGAAAAAGTAGAGTCCTCCACACTTCGTCTGGAGTGTCATACCTACACCAGGCAGGAGAACCACACAGAGAACTTAGTTCGCCTTCATTCTCCGTTGATGCAACAATGACTATATGCTAGTCTAAATAGTTTTGATTCGTCTTCATTTTCAAATGACGCAATGACAACTAAAGGCAGCTAAAAATATTTACATCCCCGACGATATTATGATATTATTCTAAACAACTACTTCTAACAATGATGCAATTTTTTTATTTTTTGAACTTGGTAAGGTCACGATGCCGATTGTAAAAATAAATATAGGATTTTCCTTGGTGGTCACCGTTTTTACAGATTATCACTGTAATAATAAAATTGAACTTGGTAAGCAAAACGATCCTGAAGTTCTTGAACAAATACCGAAACTCCATTTCAATGCCATCGGTCAACCGTCAACCCCCAGAATCTAAACTGTAGCACTTTCGTCCTCTGGGACCTTGTGAAACTGAAAATTGAACTAATTACAAAGAGGGAACAAAAACTGCCGAGTCATTCCATATAGAACCTACCAGCCATGCAACCGCCCGACTCGGATTTTGATGATAAATGTTTTTCTTGATCAGACCACCAAATAATGAACTTCTGCAAAATATTAGGTCTCAAATCGAAAAACTCACTGAGATATGAATTTTGGAAGTTTTAAGAATTTTCAAGAAAGAGACGTTTCGAACTTCCGAGAAAGAGAGGGTCATGTTCCCCAAAATAATTCATACCGGGCCCATTTTTCGTCGGATTGAAGTGAAAATTTGACACAATGTCCATGAAAGTATGTAAATTTGAGAATAAAATGCATAAAATGTTCGACTACACTCACTGATGTGCTGCGGTTGATAGTTCGTTGTGATTTTGTCTGATTTAAGCGACAAAACCTTCTCCTTTTCAAATGCTCATAACTTTTGTGCTGCAAGTTATTTTTTGCTCCAATTTTTTTTAAAATGCTCCTAAGAGTATTAGAAAGACGCCTAAAGAACAATTCTGATGGCGTTTTGGGCTTTAGTATCTTTTTTTTTCACTTTTGTCCGAAAAAGGCCTAAAAAACTGGAAATAACACCAAAATTGTTCCGATAATCGACCATTACCCTGAAAAGTCAACTCAAAAATCGCTCAATATTCGCCTGAATGGTCCTTACTGTGTATACAATATGTTTGAAAAATACAATCAATGGTATTTCGGGTTTATATATCTTTAACTTCGAGTTTTTTTCCGAAAAAAGGCCAGCAAAACTGAAAAACACCGAAATTACACCAGTTATCGGCTCTAAACGTTGGAGTAGCAACTCAAAAATTGCTCACATTTATACTGAATGGTTCTCACTGCATGTGAAATGCGTCTGGGGAATAAAAGTGATGGTATGTTGGGTTTCCATAACCCTTTTCCCAACATTTTTACTCAAGAGAGGCTCGCTCAACTGAAAAAAGCGCTAGGAAAATCTCATTAACCGACCATTACATTGAAAAAACAATTGATTGGGGGCCCAGATTTTTCACTAAAGGACTCTTGTTGTATGGGAAGCACACTAACTTGAAGAGTGAATATAGTGTATTCTTGGTTGTAGTAATTTTCCCCTTCACTCCAATCTTTACGATCGGCTTTAAAGTAAGGAAATAAAACTGTAGGTATCTCTTAACTGATAGGCATCTGTTATGGAATTTGAGTATGTCACGGGTGATGGACTCAAATTCGGGTTGAAAGTTTGTGAGACCGTTCGGCACCAGTTGATTTTTAATAAAAGGTAGAATCAACAAACTACTAAAATGGATGGAGAATTATAGACACTGAATTTTTGGAGATGAAATTTAGAGTTGTACTGAGTCAAAAGAGATAGCACAGAATCTCAAGAGTTAAACAGTAAAGAAAACAGTCACTCAGAAAATGTGCAAGAAGGCGAGAGTGGGCACAAACGTACTTGTAAGGGTCTAGATGGTAAAGAACCTGGGGTCTAAGAGATGAGAAAAGACAGACAGACCTAGGTTTTAGGGCAGCGCACGCTTATATAGACTTGCTGAGGTCACGGGTGGTGAGACACCAAGCCTACACAAGATTGGCTGGCTATAATCTATGTAGTTATCAGCTGCAAGTTTAGTAATTAAATTTATGGGTGATTCTTGGTGATGGCTGGGAGATAGGGGTGAAGAAGACAAAAGTGGACGAAATCCAGCCATCACTAATGAATGTTCTAAAATTAATAAGAAATATTCGAAAATGTAAGGCAAAAAGATGAGAAGGTGTTGACAGCATCCCTATTCACATTAAATGTGATTTACTGACTCCTGGATGGCATCATAATGAGGTTAATAACTTTCAAATGTATTCTGAAATAAAAATTAATGGAAAAGATAAAAAGTTCTAATAGGAATTATCAGAACATTAAATTGTTAAAAATTGAGGGAGGTTATTCATGCTGACTAGAGTTGAAGTATTGTGATTATAGTTTTGAAAAATTGAGTTACCTATTTATTTCCTCAACATCTCAAGCAAGGGTTTCACTCTTAAAGGGTGGGAAAAAATATGTACAAAAATCATGTATTTGGATATTTTGCGTTAAAAAAATAGAATGTTATTAATGAAGTACCTAACTGTAAGGTTTGCCCATGATTCACTCAATTCAGAACTTAGTTGCTTTTTCAACTCAAATCATTAAATTTACTTCAAAAAACTTTTGAATTTTCAGATCTATAAATTAGACTGTTGCTGATATAGGATCACGATCTTGATTGCCCTGAATAATTACTCCAACCCAGAGTAAGTTAAAGTTATGCTAGAAATCTCAACAAATTCGTTGTTGCGTGTGTGCGTGATAGGCATTGGTTCTTTGGGCTTGTTCTATCCAAATCGGAGAAAGAAAACGACTTTGAGATTTCATTTATGTATCCATCCGCGTCCGTGAATTAAAAAGTTTTTTGGAGAAATTTACTCCATTAGATTTAAATGCTTCAAGTTGAAAAAGCAACTAAGTTCTGAATTGAGTAAATCAAGGGCAAACATTACAGTTACTTTATTGATAACATTCTATTTTTTATCGCAAAATATCTAAATACTTGATTTTTGTACATATTTTTTCCCTCCCTTTAAGAGTGAATCCCTTGCTATATTCACTCCTCAAGTTAGTGTGCTTCCCATACAACTAGAGTCCTTTATTGAAAAATCTGGGCCCCCAATCAATTGTTTTTTCAATGTAATGGTCGGTTAATGAGATTTTCCTAGCGCTTTTTTCAGTTGAGCGAGCCTCTCTTGAGTAAAAATGTTGGGAAAAGGGTTATGGAAACCCAACATACCATCACTTTTATTCCCCAGACGCATTTCACATGCAGTGAGAACCATTCAGTATAAATGTGAGCAATTTTTGAGTTGCTACTCCAACGTTTAGAGCCGATAACTGGTGTAATTTCGGTGTTTTTCAGTTTTGCTGGCCTTTTTTCGGAAAAAAACTCGAAGTTAAAGATATATAAACCCGAAATACCATTGATTGTATTTTTCAAACATATTGTACACACAGTAAGGACCATTCAGGCGAAAATTGAGCGATTTTTGAGTTGACTTTTCAGGGTAATGGTCGATTATCGGAACAATTTTGGTGTTATTTCCAGTTTTTTAGGCCTTTTTCGGACAAAAGTGAAAAAAAAAGATACTAAAGCCCAAAACGCCATCAGAATTGTTCTTTAGGCGTCTTTCTAATACTCTTAGGAGCATTTTAAAAAAAATTGGAGCAAAAAATAACTTGCAGCACAAAAGTTATGAGCATTTGAAAAGGAGAAAGTTTTGTCGCTTAAATCAGACAAAATCACAACGAACTATCAACCGCAGCACATCAGTGAGTGTAGTCGAACATTTTATGCATTTTATTCTCAAATTTACATACTTTCATGGACATTGTGTCAAATTTTCACTTCAATCCGACGAAAAATGGGCCCGGTATGAATTATTTTGGGGAAAATGACCCTCTCTTTCTCGGAAGTTCGAAACGTCTCTTTCTTGAAAATTCTTAAAACTTCCAAAATTCATATCTCAGTGAGTTTTTCGATTTGAGACCTAATATTTTGCAGAAGTTCATTATTTGGTGGTCTGATCAAGAAAAAAATTTATCATCAAAATCCGAGTCGGGCGGTTGCATGGCTGGTAGGTTCTATATGGAATGACCCTGCCCCCATTCGCTCAATTTTTCTTCCATTTTGCATTTTTTTTTTTCTAAGAACGAAGACAAAGAAAAATTAATAGGGTGAATTAAAATTAATTTAATCAAAAAGGATGTACACGCCAATAATAAACTCTATTCATCTTTTGACTTATGGCTTTTGGAAGAAGATCCACCCTTCTTCCCAGCGTCTGTGTGTACCTCTATATGCTGCCTCAACTCCTCAAGGCGATATGGTAGGATAAAAATAACCATTTTCCAGGCATGGAGAAGTCTT